ATTATATTTATTACATTTATGGTAAGCCACATTATTACATTTATGGTTAAACTTTTGTTACATTTATAGGTAGTAATTTATTACATTTATGGTGGGTATTACATTTATGGTTGATTATTACCGATATGGGTGATACAGTCTAGAGCCAAAGATGTCACGCAATGACGCAAAATTCCTTGATCGTGCACGAGATGAATACGGGATTGTTTCTATGAGAGGAATGACATGCGGCTATGAGTGGCCACATTTAAAGTATTTCGGCATTTTGATAACTTTATTGGAGCTAAATGATGTCAGTCTATTAATTTTAACATTGAATGATGCATAATTTCATTGCATATATTCGGAAAGGAAAAAAAATCTTATTAAGCCAAATGAACTCGTAAACATGTTGCATTCTTTCACGTTCGAACCGTAAACGGGGTAAAGTCCAACATCTTCACGTGCAAACTGCGTGCGTGAGTTATTTTTAAACCCCTTGAGTTAATTAGATTTTAAAAGTCGATTTCTTTCATGATGGAAAATCCCAAGCTTCCACGTGCAAACTGCGTGACAATACGACTCAGAGTAAGGGCCTGATTACATGATACCGGTATTACATAAGCCGGGCCAGCCTGGAGCCGCCATTTTTATATAGAGTTTGAAGGCTGTCCAGGAGAGCAGCCTGGATGCTTCGGTTAATAGTTTTTCACGGTCACGTCCATGATAAAAACAAAATGGCCTCCCTATTGATGTGACACGTTATTCGGGGACTTTCTTGGCTGAGGTCTTCCCAGGAATATTAAATGAAATTGGGTAGAATTCAAATAAAATTACTAAAAAAGTTTAAATAAACCGCCAGCTCAGCGCGATAAAAGCAGATTCGGAAACAACTCACGGCCAACTTGCAATATATTCCCGAGCCGAATTCAAATCACTTCCTGTTGTCAACAAGACTGAGTTGCATCATCTGGTGACCTTGATTAAACCAGGGTGATACAAATGCATATATTACGTAATTCAAAAGGGCGCCGAAAACGCAGACGCCCTTCGAAAGAAAACTTACTCAAAAAACATTTTTCTCAATTAATCAGCTCTCTTTCGAACTTCTAAAAACACAATTACGCCGCATACTTCCCAGCTAAAATCAATACCCAAATGTCAGTTATTAACATTTCGTTTGTAAACCTTCGAAAAATATGTAATTTTTTATACTCCACTTTGATGCAAGCGAACTCAAAAGTCATGAAATACATACGTTGCACCAAGATTAAGCACCCATATGCACCCTTTAACAGCTGCATCGAATCACAGTACTCAGGGTTTAAAGAGCAAAAAGATATTGAAGCGTTATGAGTACTGCTTCTAAACCTGGCACCTTTAGCCGTAATAAAATTCGAAAAAAGTGTGAAGAACCAAGATGGCCATCTCAAAGTACCCTTGTTTGACCTTTAACAATGTCCTTTTAGAAGTCAAAATCTCATTGGTTCCTCGTATCACTTACATTTACCGACCACTGACATTTAAAAAATAGCTCAAAAACACCTAAAATCAAGGGAACATGGGGCGAAAACGATAATTTTGGCCCCATCTTATTATTGCAGTTTCCCAATGTCAAATGTATGGTTGTCGCCCGTTGTGCCAAGTTTTAAAAAATCTGGTTAGTACATTTAGTGTGCGTGATCACCACTCATTTGCCAACACTTTAGCTTTACGCCATTCATTCTTGTTTTGTTTTCTATAAGGTTACAGTAATTCCACAAATCCATCTTTTCTTATTGTTTCCTTATATTTATTACCCTGTATCCATTCTCTTCCGCTACAGAAGAGCACCACTCACTGTTATTTGAATTGTAGGATGTACCGCGCTAACAGCAACAGCAGTGAGTGGATTTCTGGCGGTGCAAGCGGCAGGGACAGCAACCGCGCGCCTGTGCGACAGGGGCAGCGGTTGGGGAAACAAGTATTGGGGTGGCAGCAGCAACAGCAATAGCTGGAACTTTAGCTTGTGGTAAACTATTTCTCCTTTTGGCCAATTATGCTCAATGGTTCAACAATGTCAAATCTGAATGTGAGAAGAAACTACTCGCCATACGAGATAAGCTCGACGAATCTGAAAGGGAAATCAAACTGGTTAAGGAAGAATTAGACGACTAGACGCAGTATCTCTCTATTTGAAGATACTTTAAAACTCTGGAACTTTCTGTTGTTTAAATAGTTACTGCTAAGAACTACGCACGGTTAATTTTAGCCAATATTTACAAATATATCTTTTATTTAAAAAGATAATACTAGAAGTGTGCGTTTTTGCGTCACACATGAGACTATAAAAAGCGCACTTCTTTGTAGTTGGTTACTTTAACCAAAGACAATTCCCTTTCCGATATTACAATATCGTTAGTTTACATTTTATACAGGGTTCGCACAGTCTTAAAAAGTCCTCGAATTCCATTTTTCCTTGAAAAGTCCTTGAATTTTCTTCAACTTTGAATGTAGTGGCTGGGAAAGTGTGTTTTGATGGTTTTTGCGTGTCCGAGACAGAAAATGAGTCATAGCTTAGAGAATCTAAAGGTTACAGTACACAAAGTGCTCAATGTTTTATGCAATAATAAATTAATTAAGACAAGTGAACTGAAGAATGTAGAGAAGTTGGTGAAGCAAACAGTTCAATCCTTAAAGCCTTATTAGAATAGACAGTGGGAATGTGCATTTTTGTGCAATCCGAGAAATTGTATTCCTAGTAGCTGGTCCTTGAATCTTTTGAGTCAGCACCACGAGAAAGCTAAGAATTTCTCTCTCCGGGGATGAAAACAAATAGGGTTAAAAAGAAATGGAAACCATAGAAACTGACTATCACTGAACTTGGCTTAAAATGCGTGCAAGGGATAAACAAACAGTTACTGAAAACGTTAGGTGCTGATGTTTTACCCCCTACGATAAAACTCAGAAAAACCTTGGGGAAAGAAGTGGCATCCCCCCAATCTCCCCCCCCCCCCCCTCCTACCCGCCGGGGGGCCTTGGCGGTCCCCCCCGTTCCTTGCGCGCCCTGGGGCGCCGGGCGGGGGGGAAAGAGGTGAAAAAATATTTTTTCGGCCAAAATTATTTATTCATCTTACCTCGCCGACTCTCGTTTTACAGCGTCGTCAACGAGCCACCCAAAGGGAGAGAGTCACGTTGGGGAGGAAAAAAAAAAAGAGAAAAAAAAAAAAGAACAAAAAAAAAAAACACATAACGAAAGTTTGTTAAAAAAACGGGAGAAGGAAAAAAAAAAAATAATTAAAAAAGTAGGGGGGGTATGTTTTACCCCCCCCAAAAAAAACCCAAAAAAACTTGGGGAAGAAAGGGGGGCCCCCCCCCTGTCCCCCCCCCCCCCTTTTGTACGTGCGAGGGTTAATGGACGTTGCTGCTTGATGGTGCGCCATCGGGAGTCACGTGAGAGTGAAAAAGGCCTATCAAACTTATTTTTCGGACAAAATTAATTTCTCCTTAACCGCGGGGCAATCTTCGTTGCAGAGGTCTCGAAAGAGCCCATGAAAGGGGATAATCGAGCCTAGAACAGTGTATGAGTGCCGGGTATTACATCACGTAATAGTACATATTTCAAAGATTTATAGCTAGGATTCATTGGGAAAGGAAAAAATAGAATAAGACCACCGTAACCCAACTTATTGTAAAGACGTTTTGTTGAATTGCCGTTTTCAAACGATCTGGGCTTGTTTTGCGACCCTGTTTTAACGTTCATTAAAATTTGTGAAAGGACTAACGGCCGCAGACAATCTTTGGCAGTCCTTTTGAATGATGCTTAATTTATATCTTTTTTAAAGTGTTTTCAGTTTGTTTCTTGGGAAACAATAAGGAGTCAAAGGGTTTATGAATGACAGTTACGAAACACCCATCAAGCTATCGCAATAAACTGCAAAAAGTTATACCGTTAAAGAGCAAATCTCAGTTGTGGAAAGAGAGAAAATACTAAGTAAACAGGCAGAATTGAGGAGGAAGATCAACGCCTTCGGGATTGCATGCATTTAGGTGAATTTGATTAACGATCCGCCTTTTTTGTTGTTAATTAATTTTGTCCAATTTTTTTATAAAAATTTAATTTTCGAGAATTGTCCTTATTTGCTATTTCACTGTTTGTCAATAAACATACACCTGCAGCCACCATAGCCTCTAAATGTTGTCACAGATCCCAGCGACAAAATATCCCCTCATACCATCAATTCAAATCATCATGGAGAACTCAACAAAGACTATCTTTTAAGCATTTTTCCTATTAGTTTTTTTTTTCTTATTTAATCCACCCTGGCAGTTTAAAATAGCAAGCTAAAGCAATGATGACGGCGACGGCAACGAGAGCGGCAAAAAAGCAATAGGTTTAGATCAGCAAAACCATAACTTTGCACGTGCATCACGCTTTTTTAATTTTTGTATATTTCTTTACTATTGTTGCTCGAATGCGACGTTGAAACTTATTGGTTTCACATTTTATGGAGGACGTGAACACAAGGCTGAAAACAGTTTTCCTTTTCTTTTTCTGAACTAAAGGTTGATTTCCACTGACGCGTTTTTGGCTACTGCACGTTAACACACGTAAATTTTAAGTACGTGAATAAAATAGAGGCAAGATAAAAAGTGCTAGAACGAGAAGTTGAGAAAGGTTCAACTTTTACAGGAGACGAGCGACCTTTCATGAATTGCCTCTATTTTACTTGCAAACGTAAATTTTACGCATGTAAAAATTACGCGACACTGGAAATCAACCCTTAGACACAGTTCTTCGAAGTCAACTCCAGAAAAGAGCCCCAACAATTGACAATTTGAATGAAATGGAATAAGACTAATGAAGTTTGAAATAGCACGAATTCACTTTTCAACTGACGTTCTCGTTGCCGTTGGCGTAGTGGTTGCTTAAGCTCCCCTTTTCACAAAAAGACAGTAATTAATCCTTAATCTTTCCATGGTCTCCAGTATCCCTTCATACGAGCAGTTATCCTAGCTAAACTCTCGGAAGGCTTGTTCTCGGGGGGTACAGCACTCTGTCTGTAGAACTCCACCCTGGTCATCAATGCCTCCACAATATCCGGGAACTGCTTGCTAAGGTCAACTTTCTCATATGGATCGGCGGTAATGTTGTAAAGGCCCACATCAATAACTTTTTTGCAACAGTGTCCCTGGAGATAGAAATTTTAACAAAAGTGACTGATTTGAATACTTAAAAGAGGTTTCAAAAATGGTTTAGAAAATCTGCTTTATCTGCCTTAACTCAAACTTGTCACAAAATCCACGACAAAATCAATTGCGACGCAACGACATTTTGTCCCCAGTATATCTCTTTCATTTCACAGAGATAATATTAAAGCTAGGTGGAAACGGACGGATCAACTCCTAACATAGTTGGGTCAACTTTGTTGGGAGTTGTTGCGCATGCGTTCGTGTTGTCAGTGTTGTGGAAATGGATGCAACAACTCCCAACATAGTTGGCCCATCACGGGTGTGGGTCTATCACGCGACTTCATTGCGTTACTGTCTCCAAGGAGACCAAGAGTAATGCACGTGCATGGCCCCAACAATGTTGATGGAAGAGCTGTGCAAACGGATCAAGGCTTGGTTCTTATCTCACTCTGCTCAATTTACGAGAAGACAAAGAAAAGCGACCATGTTGAAAACAACGAGGTATAGGCATGAAGGGTGCACAATTACCTTTTTTCCTTGTTCGGCTGGAATACTTCCAACCAACTCTGGTGGGATATACCTCTCTCTATCGGTTTGATTTAATATCAGCTTCATGTCTCCAACACGAATTGCTGCCTTTTGGTCGATAATGTTGTGTAGAATTTCCTTTCTTGGCGATGGAGCCCCTTCAGATATACTGCGCCAAATATTAAAGCCATCCAATTGTGGAATAGTTGCGTGAGTGCGTCTTTTTCCAAGAGATCGTTCTACAGTTATTCAGAAGAATAAAATACTGATTAAACTGAAAGAAAGCGAAGCTGAGGGTAAACATAAATCTGCAACCGTCCCTGGTTCGCCCCATGCAAAGAAAATCTAAGACAGTCTTCGATTCCGGATTCCACGCTGTGGATTCCAGGTACCGATTCCTGATTTTTTGTCAGTGGAGCTTGGATTCCAGATTCCAATCCTTAACCGGTTTCACTGCTACCTGGAAAGTGGGATTTGCCAAACTTGGGGAGAGTAATGTAGGATTGGGAAAGTAAACGATATTTGTGATATCAATGACCGATATTTGAGACGCGGAAAAGCGTGATCAGGATCCCCTTTCCAGACCGTATTCAAAACGGCAAACTTGCACACTGAAACTGGACCTTTTGAAACTGCACTGTTAAGGATAAAATCAATGGACAAGATTTAGTCGTATTGGAGGTGAGAGATTGTAAAAATAGACACCTTTGGATTTTCAGTAAGACGAGAACGACTACAAGTAGGAGATTTTCTCAAGCGGATTTTCGGCTCGCAGTTGGTCAGAATTTCCAAAATAAGGTATCTGTGCAAAGATTCTACCAGAATTCGCTGCTTGCCAACTTCATTACTCAGCCTAAAATCTATGTGAGTTCAGAATTGCATAATCCGCATAGTTCCATATTGTCCCCAACCTTAGCCAAAGATTCAAAAATACGCAACTGTTAGTTAACAAATTTACCTGCAAGATTAACGAGAGTCGGATACCAGTCAGTTACATGA